ATACCATGATTATTTGATCCTTGTGGTTGAATTCCTTTGTACAAAAGGTCACCATGTCCAATGACTCAAGCTTAGACCCTCTCACTAGACAAATCATATCTAACAATAAATTTCTAAATAAACCTAGTATCACTTCATTTGATTAACAAATGATCATATATGAAATCCCCTAAGAGGTTATTAGATTATTTCGATTTGAGTATATAATTTTTGTCTAAATTTTTAGATACTTGAAAATAATTCCGTCATTTTATGAAGAATATATTTTACCATAAATTAATCCAATCTAGCGATTCGATTAGCCTGTTTCATTGTTCATGGATATACTACTGGAGATTACATTTTTCATTTAAATAAAGACCATCTCCCACTTAATATTTTAAAATAATGATTTCTAATTTTAAATAATTACAAACTATTCAAATTAACATATAGTTTAATTATTACAAATTTCCCTGTTTAGAAAAAATATAATCTAGATTAATTGATCAACAAAAAATCGATGTTAGGCAAAACACATATTCTTAGTTTCACGAGCAATATCACAAATAAACTATATGTCAGATTATCTAGAAAAATAATATTTTAAACATATTTAAATATTCATGAACAATAAATTAACAAATGTTTATGGCCCAAAACGACTAACGAATTAAATTAAAAATTAATTCGGTATAAGTACAATATCTAATTTAAATATTCAATTCAAACTCTTATAGGATCCAAAAGTAATAATTCGAACCTGACACATCCATATCCTTTTCGGCTCGACTCAATCCACGCACTAAACTAACACATGGGTTCGGACCCTCTTAAGGCTGATTCGAATCTTTGTGACCCACGCAGATCCAGGTCTATAGTAACCGTGTAGATCATGTCATCCATAAGATATGTGCTTCGCACAGATCTAAAAATATTTTTTGAAAGAATTACATAATTCCAGGTGTCTAAAGATTACAATTCAAAAATCAAGGTTGAAGTTTCACTATTTATAAATCAGGTATCAATATAATAATTAAATATTAAATATTTCCTCAAATTATTCCAAACCCTAATCAATTTTTTCCTTACCATTTTTCTCTCTACCCTTTCTTCTCTCTCAGTCTCTCCCATTTCTCCATCACTATCGCCGTCGAAAATTCTTGATTCCTCCAAGGCACACTCAATTTTCAAGCAATGGCACTGAAAGAAAGAGAGAGAAGAGATGCGTGGGCGAGTGAAGACGGCGGCCCACCGGAGGTCACTCTCCAAACTTCCATGGGCTCCTTTACAGTTGAGGTGACTACTCTCTTCACACAAATCCATCTGTATTAGTACATTTTTCATGCTCTACTGCTCGATTTTTTTTCCTAATTAATGATACAAAAATTGATAAAAATATGGCAGATGTACTATGACCATGCACCCAAGACTTGCAGGAACTTCATAGAGTTGGCTTGCAAAGGCTATTACGATAACGTCAAAATCCACAGAATCGTTAGAGTCTCTTTATTTGTATAGCTAATCGCCATTCATATGTGTATATGCAAATATTCCTAATATTAAACTGATAATTTTTATGTGATATTAGAGTTCAGGATTTTATAGTGTAAGGTGGGGATCCAACTGAGACTGGCAGAGATGGCAAATCAATTTATGGGTTTTTTTTTTTAATAAAATGTATTTTCTAATTTTAGAATGTGCCTTGCACTTGGTTATTTTCAAATTAATGTCTTCTTTTGGTTCCAAATACTTCTCATTTTTGTAGGATATTTATAGATCACCCTTTTATGGTATGGTGATGGTGGTGCGATGGATCTAGGTAGGACGACGGTGGTGGTGATGGTAGAAATGGTGCTTGCGTTAGCAGTGGTGATTGTGTTTGTGGTGTGTTGGAGATGAAGGGCTAGTGGTAGTGTCGGTGGCGTGGTTGAATTGTTGGTGGTGCAGGTGCTAGTGGCGATGTTGCTACAGTGATGGTAAGTTGGTGCTTGGTTTCAATGGTGCTGGTAGTATTTGTGACCAATTACATATGTTGTTCGGTTGGTGCTGTCGTGGTGGCAATTTTGGTGGTGTGCGTTGGTTTGTTTTGTTGGGAGGTGGTGGTTTTCACGGTGGTAGTGGTGGTGGTGGCTGCTGTGGTGGTTGTGATGGTGTTGTGGCCAGGTAGTGTTTGTAACCAAGTATTATGGTGGATCGGGATTGGGTGATTGGCGTCTGTGACCAACTATTTGGTCCCCTGTGATTGTATTAATTCGTGACTAAGATTCTATCATTTTGTGACTAAAAAAATAATTTGTGACCATCAAATTTAAAAATATGTGACATGTGACCTATAATGTTTTGAATTTGAAACCATTTGTAACCTATAATTTTTTTATCTATGACCTCGAAATAATCTGTAACGTATTAAAATTTTGATTTGTGACCTCGAAAAATCTGAGACCAATTAATTTGATGATATGTGACCAGTAAATAAATATGTGACTTATAATTGTGAATCTGTGATCATTAATTGTATAACTGTGACTTTATCATCATTATTTAATAAATATTTTTAATCAATTAGTTAAAACCTAATTTTTGCATTAATGAAACTTGTAACCTGAATTTTGAATTATACATAGTTAAAACCTGATTTGTGAACTCTTCCCATATTTTTTTGCTCTATGATTGTTGATCTTTTTGGGAACATTCTTCAAATCTCAAATTAATTGAATAAGAAATCTCAAAATAATATGAATTGAAAATTACAAGAACTGTACATCGTGATCTTAAAATTAGGATCTTAAAATTGAAAAGAAATTTTAAATCAAGATGATGGAATCATAATCGACCTATCTTGTTTTAGACTCGAACTAACAAATTACAATAAAAAATAAATAAAAAAATTGGCCACAAATAATTGGATCACATTTTAAAATAATTTCAATCATTCAATCATCATATAATTAATTATTTTTAGATATTGCTCGACTAAAACTAGCAATCAAGATTTAGAAAGTACACAAGTACACGAACGGTCTACATTGCTCTAATTCTAGTTGTTGAAACAAGAGTTACTCAAAAACTAAAAATATTCTAATCTTCAAGAATTCAAGATAGTTATTAGTAATTCATGTACATGATATAATCAAGAATAAAAATTTAGATTCTACCCAAGCTCGAAAATCAAAAATCAATTTCTAAATAGATTTATCTTGAACTTCTGGCTTTTGATTTCACAAACTTGTCGCACGTCGCTTCAAACATTTAAGTGCTCTGTGATATTCTTCAAAGTTCAAGGCTATGTAAACGTATGCATGCATTATTTTAATTGAAGTGAGAACCAAATTTTAGGCTGGATATATCAAGTAAAAAATAAGAAAACGAGAAAAGAATTTTTCTTTTCTCACTTTGTCTATGTGTTCTAGTTTATGATTTTCAGCACCCTGTGTTCTATATAAAACAAAATATCTAGGTCCACGTCGAATTAGGCCACAATGGATAAGTGCTCATGTAGTCCTTGAATTTTGCAACTAAATTCAAAATTTTTCAAGGTGTTTGGACATATATTATCCAATCTCCAGTAATTAGATTATGTCAAATATATCCTAGACCATCTAATCTAATTATTAGTTTTTACTTTTCTCATTAAAAGCAAAATATTGCGAACTCGAAATATATAAAATCATAAAAGATTTTCTTTTAATTATTCTCCCTAAGTTAAGTCACCTTTTTTTCAGTGGTCCTATGAACCTATCATAGGCGTTGAAGTTTAACAATCACTAAAACTTTAAAGCTCTAAACTTTAATTTATGGTCGTTCAACAAAAAACACTTAATTAGTAACTTAGTTTTTCACTGACAATACTAGCTCGTTCTTAAGTTCCAACTCACCGATATATTTAATCAATCCAATTGATCTCATCTAAGGCTGAACAAAACTCCCGAACTAAATCGACCGAACCGAATCGAGCAGTTCTTTTTAAGTTAAATACTCGAACAGATATCTCAATTGAGATCGACGGGTTTGGTTTGGTTCTCTATTCTAAATCAAGAACCCACGAATCAAATCTCCCTAATTTTTATAATTAATTTATTTTAAATAAGTCAACTTATTTTATTTTTCTAAATAAATTTGCTAGTTAATTAATTTAGCTCAAACCCAAAAAATATAATTTCACTATTTCTAATTTTCAGTACAAAGTCAACTTAATCAAATTGACCTAAGTTTTATCCAAATTGTTACTCAACCGTACTGTCGTTTCTACTGTTCTGAAGAAATCGAAATGAAGCTCAACAATCCTCTCTTAATTACTGTGAGCTCCCTATCTTCCACTTCTTGTGATTTTAACAATTAAATCTATGAAGAACTCAGCAAAGAGAGACATAAAAAATACATAAGATTGGACTACGTTGTTTTGTTAGAACTAAGATTAAACATATCATTTGTTAAATTAATGTAGTTTTGTAAATATTAGAAAAATTTAATTATAATATGGAACTTGGGAACTGAAACCGAACTGCTCCGTGACTAAATTTGGACCCGACAGTTTTATTAACTAGATACCGAAAATTTCGATTCCAGCTCTGTTCTAACGAGAAACAAACCAAATCGGACCATGTCTAACCTAATCTCATCTATTGATGTATCAAAGAGATATCAAACTCATGAAAAAACATACACAACTCTATCCACGAATTTAGATAAAATATGTGACGATCAAGTGAAATTTAATTCTCCTCATAATCATGTTATAGAATTAAACTTGACATATGATACTTTTAATACATTCCAAAGGTACTAATATCACTATTAAACTATTTCCGAGATAACGTCAAATAATGAATTAATCAACACTACAAACTTACATTAAATGGTGCCAACCCTTATATATTGATTGTAAACAATTTTATTTATGATTAAAATATAAGTTATGAACGCTATGCTTCTCCATGCGAGCACCAAATTATATTATTACAAATGATCATAGACACTTATTCCCATGCTCAATTTCAAATAAATGAATCAACACAAAATAAATAAAAACCACAATTTATTTATAATAAAGTTGTTGTTTTGGATCAGCAAAACTATATTACAAGGACGAAAAAAACATTTACAAACACTTCTAAGATATTCATATTCACCAGCATCTCATAGAAGTTCTACATTTACACATACTGCATTAATCAGAACACGTCCACACACTTTAAATAGAGAAACAGCAACGATGCAATGGATCTCCGGAAAACCTCTACTGCTCAACACTTTCAGCCTGTAGAAGACCCTCCCGAATCTGTGCAGCAACATCTTTCACAGCACCAGGTCCATGTGGGATAAACACAGCGGACGACTTTGATGATGCTCCAATTTCCTTCATGGTATCAAAGTATTGGGTAATGAGAACCATGTCCATGACATCCTTAGCTGTTGTTCTAGGCACATTTTCCGAGAAGGCAAGAACGCTTTCCCTTAGACCATCTACAATGGCTTGGCGCTGACGAGCAATTCCAAGCCCCGACAAGTATTTGGATTCAGCTTCACCTTCGGCTTTCTTGATCTGCAATATCTTCTCAGCCTCAGCCTTCTCGTTCGCAGCAACTCGGAGCCTGGCAGCTGTTGTAAATACAAAAGTTCATTAGACAGATTGCATTACCAGCGGTCAAGCCCCAGACAGCAAAATGGCAGTTCTAACTATTCAGAGACGTGAATCAGAGGAAAAAATTGGGTATTAACTCCAGAGTAGCTAGAAGAAAAATTACTTCATCCATATTCTCCTAAAAGTGAAATTGAATCTCTTAATGCTATGCAGTAACATCACAGATTCAAGGTAAGACCATGGGAAATTGAAGTTGCATATTGACTACGATGGTAAAAAGTAAAAACTAACCTGCATTTATCTCGTTCATGGCTCTCTTAACCTGAGAATCTGGCTCAATGTCCACAATCAGGGTCTGCACTATTTCATATCCATAAGCAGACATGGCCTGTAAAGTAACAAGTGCACAAAATATTGGGTACATTAATTAATAAATGAGCTACACGTGAACTTTTGTTGTCAAAGAGAACATTACCTTTTCAAGTTCATTTTCGACAGCTTTGGCTATGTCGTTCTTCTGTTCAAAGGTAGAATCCAAATCTAATCTTGGTATACTTGCCCTTATGACTAAAGTATCTTAAAGGAGAGTCAGACTAATTTTGGCATAAAATTCAATTCATTAGTTATCAGCAGATAATTTATCACATTCCTTCCATCTATGTTCATATATTGATGATTTGAGCTCTCCACGCAAATACCCATAAATCAATTTAAGTCAGTTTGTGCAAGCACCGTTCAAGTTTCACTGAACAAAGAAATGATTTCAAGGAGATAGAAATGGTATTGCTATGATGAGAGAGAATATATAACTGCAATACAGCAGAAGCATCCAAATGGAACCTCCAGAGACACTTAAAATAATTTGACATTGACACTATGACAACAATAAGAATCTTGAAGATATATGATGCATTTTGTCTAAAAGGACATAAACTTGAACAATGAATCTAACAAGCATGAGTTCATACACAGATTGTGAGACCAAGTGTTCCCCTTATGCATGCAGAAAAAGGGCCGAAAATCCACTCTCTTTTTTACTACCGCATTTTTATTTAGTCCTTATTGACAATAACTAATGATCACATGTTTGGAACAAGAATATTGAAGTTCATTCCTGGCATCAATTAGCTTCAACATCCACCCCCCCCCACCCCCCAC